TAGTGGCTACATGATGTAGCTCCAGTAGTCCGTTATTCAACTTTTCCTTGATGAAGATCCTATCAATCTCCACATGGTTGGTTCTATCGTGTTGCACCGGGTTGTTGGCAATGTTGATTGCTGACTTGTTGTCGCACCACAACTACATTTGAGCTCCATGATCCACCTTTAGCTATACCAATAAGTTTCTTAGTCACATCATCTCGGCAACTTCTAAGGTCATGACCCTATATTTTGCCTCTATTGTTGACCTCACTACTACCGACTGTTTCTTACTCTTCGAAGAGACCAAGTTGTCTCTCTATAAACATACAATATCCAGATGTGGACCTCCAGCCATCAACACAACTTGTCCTGTCAAGAGTCACAATAGCCACTAATGCCTACATGTTTATTCTCCCTGAAGATCAACCTCTTCCCCGACACTTTTTAGGTATCTCAGAATCTGTACACGACATCCATGTGGCCTTTCCTCAGATCATGCTTGCAACGACTTAGCACGCTTACTGCAAATGATATGTCGAGACGAGTGTGACTCAGATGAGACGACTTACCAACCTCTGGTACCTCTCTCGATCAATTGGCTCATCTGCCTCTACACTCAACTTTCCCTTTTGATCAATTGGTGAAATTGCAAACTTGCATCCCAATATGTATGTCTATGTGAGCAAGTCTAACATATACTTCCTCTGAGATAGGACAATCCCCTCTGCTCCACGAACTATCTCACTCCCAAGGAAGTATCTAAACTGTTCCATGTTCTTTATCTCAAACTCTTTGCTCAGTCTTGTCTTTAGCAGCGCAATCTTTCCCTCATCATCACCAGTAACTATCATATCATTCACATACACGACAAGTATAGTGGTGTGATCACCATTTCGTCGAATGAAAATTGTGCTGTCAGCATTGATTTGATGATAGCCCTGCCTGCAATTGCTCTTTGAACTTTTCAAACCAAGCTGGAGGAGACTGTTTCAAACCGTACAGTGATTTCCTCAGTTTAGCCGGGGGTATCTCTATGTACACCTCCAACTGATCCCCATGAAGAAATACAGTCTTCACATCCAGTTCGTGTAATCTCCATCCACCATTCACCGTCAGAGAGATGAGTCCCGACTGTGCTCATCTTCGCCACTGGTGCAAATGTCTTATCATAATCGATGCCATACATCTGATTATACCTTTTAGCCACCAACCTTGTTTTATAGTGATCAATTTTTTTCTTCTGAGGTCAGCTTCACTGTGAAAACCCATTTGCACACCATTGCCTTTTTTCCTGTTGTTAGCAACGCGAGCTCCCACATCTCATTCTTCTTGAGAGCACCAAGTTCCTCAAATGTGACAACCTTCCAATTTGGATCCTCCTTAGCTACCTGTCAATACTTGTTATAGAGACAGTATTCAAAGATGCAATGAATGCTCATTATACATGTGATATTTTAGAGTATGAGACAAACTGAGCAATGTCATGTGAGAAACCAAAACAGTTAGGAGAATGACCCGCATTGCTGCTAGAAGTTCTCCTTAAACTCATGGGAGTGAGAAAAGGGAGAAGAATCATATCATCTGTGTAATTTGATTCTGAGGTGGATGGTGTAGGTGTATCAGGAGTCGGGGCAGACCGGGACAAGGGGTTTGATGACACGAGTGGCATGGCGGACACTCTTCCCTCATTCTGCCTTCTTCTTGTACACACTCTCAACTCCCATTGAGTTTGATCCCACCACCTTCAAGCTCATTTTCCGCATTGTTCAACTCTTCCTCAACTTCATTTTTCTCATTGTCTGGCCCTTCCTTAACAGATCCTTCCCGCACAATGGGACAAGTCATCTTTCCCACATGGATCAATCTCTCACCATCACTTTTCTCCCCCTGTCGTCTCATACGTCTAAGTATTTGTTAAGTCAACAAAGGGTGAGATCACCTTCAAGGAATAATATCGTTGTAATTCTCTAAACGTCACATTCATACTCACAATCGCCTCTCTATTGAGCTCCAATAAATATTTTCAGAGTAGCAGAATAACCCATTAAAACACACTTCACAGCTTTGGGATCCAATTTCCCTATTGATGGTCTATTGTCCTTCACAAAACATACACAATCAAATACCTTCAATGGAAGAATCGACCATTATCTTCTTTCAACAACTCACAAGGAGATTGCCACTCCCAACACTATTGAGGGAATTTTGTTAATCAATTGAGCGGCTGTTAAAATTGCTTGCCCTCAGAGGTGCTTTGGGACATTCATCGAGATCATGCTTTGGGCTACCTCTAAAAGGTGTCTATTTTTCCTTTATACTATATTTTTTTTGTTGGTGTGTATGGACATGTGGTTTGATGTTGTATCTCGTGGGCCGACAAATACTCCTCAAACGTCTCATTGGTATAGTCTGTTCTATTATCAAAACTCAATACATTCACTACTACACTGTATTGAGTCTGAATCGCTCTGTGAAAGTCTTTAAATCAAGCAAACACATTACATTTGTTCCTCATCAGATATGGCCATGTAATACTAGAAATCTTATCAATGAACGTCACAACATATCTATAATCATTCTTCGAAGTTAGAGAACAAGGTCCCCATACACTTAAATGCACCAAATCAAAGACGTAAGGACTCCACTTGCCAGAACTCACATAGGAGCTTCTAGTATGCTTACCAAACTCACAAGCAAAAACTCACATACGAGCTCCTGATATGCTTACCAAACTCACAAGAATCACACACAAGTTTTTGTTTATTTGCCTTTTCATATGAAAACGGATACAAACGACTCAATAGACTAAAAGAAGTGTCTCATGCGCCTGTGTATAACATTACATCCTTTGCACTTCTGCTAGATCCTCCTACTCCTGCGCTCTCTACCATGAATGTCAGAGCTGAGTCCATCCCCTCTCTATCCAAATACCAGAGTCCGTTATGCCACGTGCTACTCTCAATTCTTCGGTCTGTCCCCTTCTCTTGAAAGATCACCTTAGGAAATATCAAATAAAACAACATATTTTAGCTGAAGAATATTGACACTAATGGATAAAATGTTCACTAGTGGAAGGAACATGCAAAACATTAGACAAAATCAGAATCGACACTCACTGTACTCTTTTCAACCACATGTTTTGTTGTACCATCAACAGACTGAATGCTCTCTGAAACTCTTAGAAGCACTGGAATCGTTATGAGTCACATGTCAAGATGCACTGGAATCTAGTAACCATTCTGGTGTTTTTATGGTGGATATAGAGGCAAGAGCATGTATATCACAAGTTTCTTTGGCTGAGTGAGCATAAGTAGTAATGTTTCCCTTGAATGACGATAAGGTGGATGCATCCTCAATCATATCACCTGTTGCCCTCTACTTCCTCTTCAACCTCAAGAAGCTCGTGATCCCTATAGGTAATACCACCCCTGTTTCTCCCTCGTTCTCCGTGACCATCAAATTTGCCCGGTTACCCCATTTTCCACCTCTTTGGCCTCCACGGCTACGATCATGACCTCTCTACTGTCCACTTCCACATGTCTCTCTCCTTAGTTGGCTTTGGACAAACCTTGCTCAGGTGTACCACTTCTTCGTTGTTGTAACACCTGCGGGTCTCTCTCTGAGAATCTATCATACCTGAGCTCGAGGCAGCAAAAGCTGCTCGCATTCTTGGAGGTCCACTCGGTTGAGGCGGAACACGTGCTGAGGTAGTGGCTCCCGTTGAGGCAATAACTTCCTGTATGAGCCTGACCAAGACCTTTAGAACTTCGAGATCCATCTTTCCCAGAGGTTCCAATCCTTTATCTTCTGCACTATCTTCGTCTCCTGACATCCTCAATCACAAGGATTCAAGTCTAGATAAGACGCGACTTCCTCTTCTTGACATGATATCGATCTATCCATCGTCAAGATCAAACTCAATTCAACTCTTTGCTTTCTATGCCCGATTCAAAGCTCTCCCTCTCCCCAGTTTCCATTCTATGCGAAGTCCCTTGTTCTGTCCCTCGCGCGACACAGAAATGCCAAAACTCTCCTGTTTCGTGATTGTGACCCTGCTCTCCCTGTTCCTATGCACGCAACAGTCTGCAATTCCCCTCTACTTCACAACAAACGAAAGCATCTGTGCGTACGAAGACCTTTGAAACTTCCAGTTGTCGCAATTAAGGCTCTCTAGAGAGCAATGACAGGATTGCCAATTTCCTGTCTTCCGAAGTCGCAAGCTGCGGGAGCTTCTTCTGCGGTGCACAAAAATGAACAAAGACCTCTGTAACTCACCTCTTCTACTCCTTATGCGCCCGAGAAGAGTAGTGACGAGACTGTTGCACGGGATCTTCGAAAGAAGCTGCTCCGCCTCCTTGTTCACACTGGTAAGCCGTAACCCACAAAGCACGGGATTGAAACTAGCTAGGGAACTGCGACGGGATCACAACACAAAATGGTTGCGAAGCTCCCGTCTTCCTTGGCATTCGCTCTCCCTGCTCGAGCAATGACGGAATCACAACTAGGGAAGCAGCGGCGGGATAACAACGTAGAAGGACCGCAAGGTTCTCATTTTCTCATCGCCCGTATCCTGCTCTGGCCTCCTCCTTCGGGTCTCTATTTGTGGATCAACAGGCTCAAACGGTTAGGTTTAGCTCTGATACCAAAAGGAAGTAATTGCTTTTGAAAATCTTGTTCTATTCATTAATCTCTTTGACTTATACAGGGCCTTACAACATTTTGCAGATAACTTTCTAGACATCTTTTATATTTTTTATTTAGACTCTAAACTAGATACAAATCTCAACAGTAAGCGATTCTCTTGAGTCATCCTCTGAATCTGATTTAATAAATCTAGGATTTACATTATGCTGTACGAAATTTTTGGATTCAGTAGAGTCGAGGATCTAGCGATCCTAAAATTACATCTGCGGATTTACGTGAAACCCGTACGGCTGTCCATCTAAAAATAGTGTGCCAAACACCAAGTGCTAAAAAAAAAAGTTTCATTTTTCATTTTTTTTTGGTGGCTGCAGAGAATTTGAGTACGAGAAGGTAATGCGGTTATGGGAGGTATTATGGACACATTATCCTTCAGAGCACCTCCATCTTTACTTATGTGTCGCCATTCTTAAGAGTCACAAGAAGAAGATAATGGAGGAGCAGATGGACTTCGACACCCTCCTAAAATTTATCAATGGACTCAGTAATCAGATCGATCTCGACTCAATAATCCGCGATGCCGAGGCCTTGTGCGTCTGCGCAGGAGAAAACGGTGCCGCCTGTATTCCACCTGGCACCCCACCTTCTTGTCCTGCTGATTCAGATGCTGGACTCTGTTATGCTCAGCAAGATGATGAAATATTGTGAAGGCTTTCTGTATATCTTTGTACTTTCTTTTGGGAAATTTACATACACCTCACACAATTTCTTTGTATTTTTATATGTAGCATCTAAACCTTGATGTTTGCATTCACAACGCTTTGGTGCCATGAACCCATGCCTGAAAACGTGTGCTTCACTTTAAAAAGTTTGTAATAATGATGTTTTTTATGTTATATTAAAGATTAGAGTATGATGTATGTAAATATTAAAATTTAGTTGTTAGATATGCATCTCATCCCACTCTCGCGGCCATACATTTTTAAATTTGACCTTCATATTTGCACATCAAATTATAAAAATTTTATGACAAAAAGTCTAGCATATTAATTTTATTGTTCAAAAGCAATATGATGATGCTATAATTGAATATTGTACTCGTCTAAATGTTGAAGTAGATTGTCAGACCTCTTCTGAGAGAATAATGATTGGCCTTTTTGAGGAGAAAATATTACCTCAGGAGTACTGATGCATCAGTACTCCAATGAGGGGGTGCCACGTAGGCAATTGTCCCATCGTGGTGTCTACGTGGCACCCCTTCATTGGAATACTGATGCATCAGTACTCCTGAGGTAATATTTTTTTCTTTTTGAGGGCCTGATGAGCCTGATAAATTTATAAATGATGATTTTTTTTTTTTTGAATATCTAGAATTTTTAGTTGAGCATAATACATGTATTACTAATTTGTTGCAAAAGAAAAATCTATATCCTTTATAGTGATATTTTGTTATTAAAGAACTTAGAGATAATTGTTTATCAATTTTAGTTGATGGAGCTTGTAATATATTTATAAGAGGATAAATGGCTTATTTTTACATTGCATATATGTCTAACATATTAGCTTTTTCTCTTAAAATAATAGTGGAGTAACTTTTATCAACCTATGATTTAAGTGTTCCGAGACTACATGATTAAGATTATGATGTTTATTAATGTGATGAGCGAGTTTAATGTATTAAATACATTATTTTTGAATGAAAATAAATTTGCTAATTATATTCATTATTTTTCACATCAACTTTAATTAGGTAATATTTTTTTTTTTCAATTTGTCTTGCTACTAAATATGATTTTAAATTCGATGAATCTTAATGGTGCCTCATATAGACAACATGATCAAGTCAGAGAAATTGAGAGAACTAAAAAATAAAGAGGTTATTACGGGACAAAAATTAAATCATGATTACTTGTAGAAGAATAGAGGATATATGTAGGCTACATATTATGAGTCACTTATGAGATTGGTCTCAATATTTATCTTAATGGTTGATATAATAAAATTTTTTTTGGAAGATGGTATACGTTTTGAACAAAGTGGAGAGACATGGAAGATATCCATACAATCACTTTTGAACACAATCACAGGCATCATCAAAATATATTAAGAAATTGTGAATATTATGTCTTTGGTTCAAATATAAAAAATAAGGCTAAAAAATATGAGAAATAACAAGTGAAATGTTTTTATTGATAGAGTATCATTATTTTGTATTCAATAGAAAATAATTATTCATTCTATGAATATGATAAATGAATTGTTGTGGATGCCCTTATCATAGACTTCAAGACATTTCAAATTTATACTATATTTGTGATATAATCATTCTACAATTATTTATATGCAATTTTAAGAGTTGAATAATATATTATAGAGCCAAAGACAAAATTACTTTTTTCTATCACATATTTGAAAATAACTAATTCACATTGCTCATTTAAGAAAAGATAAATTAATAAGGATGATACTTTTATGTTCAGCTAGTTTTACTTCAATAGATTTAGTGCTTTAGTGTTTCTTGTAATCAATTAAGAAAATGCATTATGGATAGCGCTGTAAACGAGCCGAGTTTGAGCGAGCTCAGGCTTGGCTCGTGTTCGGCTCGTGTTCGAAATCGGCTCGTGCACAGTGTGTTCGTGTTCGGCTCGAAATTGGCTCGTTAAACTTAAATTGAGAAAAATATATGTAAAGTGTGGGATTCAAACCTGGATCAAAAATGTACTAAAAAAGACACTAATCACATTGCCACATGAGGTGTTATGATTTAAACTTAGACATAAATATATATAATATATTATTATATAAATAATATATATTGTTATATAAAAAGTTATATAATTTTTTTATTTCGAGCTAAAACGAGCCGAATACGAGCGAACAAAGAGTTGTTCGTGTTCGGCTCGTTTATAATTCGAGCTTTAAAAATTACTTAGTGAACGAGCTGAACACGAGCTACTTAACGAGCCGAACACGAACTATTCGCGAACAACAAGCTAATTTGATATGTGATCTAGTGTATAATTTTATTCATTAAAAAATATTAGAAGCCTAGTAGAACAAATAATTTAGATAAATAAAAAAAAACTACATTACACCTTTTTGGTTTCAACTTTTGTTGACATAAACATTAAGTTTTACTCATTGCTATAATAAGTGTTAAAATAACGGATTACAATTTTATACTAAACACTTCATTTTTTAGTAAACAACACATAAAAAGATACAGGTGGTAACCGATGGCCAATGGTTGTCACCGGTATGTGGTGATGACTAATAATGATTGGCAATGGTAAGCGGCTATGGGTACTAGATGTTATTGTTGGGCCTTCAATATGAGTGTTATATGCTACAACCATATTTAGGATACAATATTTATAAATAGGGATTGCCGACGCAGATCATCGGTGGCCGACTATGGTCGATGGGTGATAGCCGACGACTACAAAAGTTGGAAATTATCAGCAAGTCTTCAATACGTCGTTATATGTTACGACTGTATTTAGGATATGATGTTAAAGGGATCACCGACAATGACAAGTGGGACGACCATTGGTTGTCGATAATGGCCGATGGGTTGTGATCGACGTTAGTAGGTGGTTACAAAGGTCTAATGTTTTCGTTGTGTCTTCAGTCCACAACAAGCCTTGGAATTCCTTCTCTTCTCCTCTCACTTCAATTGAGGATATGAGACCATTTTACAACCTCTAGGGTAAGTGTATTTTTATCTTTTTGGTCTTTTAGCAAATAACTTTCTCAACCACCTAATCGAACAGTCAATATCGATCCCTTGATTATAGGAGATTTTTAATAATTTAGGGGCATTAATGACCTAAAATTAAGCGAACATAGGCTCTTTGGATTTCTCTTGTCAAGAAGTTTAATTGACTATAAATATGTCACACTTGAAGTTCATTTGACCATCCAATTGATTATCCAAAGCCTCTAAATGTTTTGATTTGATTGAATCCGAATTGAACCAATTTTAATTTCATTAAATTCATCTTGTTGAGATAGTCAATTTAATTATAAGCTCATTGAGATTAGGACATCAGAAGATCTTGAATTTAAATTTTAAAAATCTTTCATAAAAAATACATCAAGCCTCATGCTTGGTAAAAATTAGTTGATGACACATTAATGATGAAACAAACTAATCAAATCATTACAAAATTCAATCAAACCAAACCACCATATAGGTTGTTTCAATTGATTTTATTTTAGTTTGATTGAATTTTCAAAATTTGTTAAAGAGGCAAGTTATTGCTCAATTTCAATAGATAGGTAAATAGATTTAATGAAATAATTTAAATATACCAAACTATAGATATATTCAAAAACTTGTAATAATATTATTTAATTAATGCATATAATAATTTCAAAAGAAGTTTTTCCTAAAATTATTTTTTATATATCAATTTTTTTATATGATGTTGATCATGGGTATACTTCTCAAACTTTTATAAAATCAACACAATCAAGTTTTGGCCAATGCCTCCCAACTTCCATATTATTCTCTCTCAAGGGCATCAACATATACTTCTTTTTTTTCCTTCACCCTTATACAACTTGAAATTATTTACTTTATTTTCAACTAATATGCTACACATTCAAGCATATATCATAGACTTTATTTACAATACAATTGATGTGGACCCCAAGACTGACAACTTAGCACACGACAATCGACAACCATTTCTAGTCAGTCTTTCAAAACATAGCATTTAACTTGTATTAAAGTTTTTAATAATCCTTACTAAATAGTAATCCCAACAAAAAAGAAAATCAGCTGATCAATCATCATATATACAATAATATATGGAGAAAGCCTATTTATACATAGCCCGTTCACCAAGAACCACAAAGGAATGGCAAAAAAAGCTTTAAAAGTATTACATACCGAAATCATATGCATCTTTGGTCTCTTGCTTTGAGATCAGTATAGAGCTACGAGGAACCAGTCTTCATGCTTGTGGAAGATTCCAGCAAGGCCAAGTACTCAGCAATGGCTTCTCCTTCCTTGGAAACTTCAAGGTCATAGTCTGCATAAGCATCTCCGGTCAATTCCTTGGCAAGCTCATCTTCCATCTCCTCATCCCTAACTTCCTTGGAAGATGCTGCCATGTCTTCGCTATCAAATTCATGGCTGCCACTTTCCAATTCCAGTGTAGTACTTGCTGTTGCAGCAATATCACCTGAATGTGCTATTTGTGTGGGAGCACGTGCTGCTGTAATGCATGACAGATTAGTGATGGAATCTCTGCTGATGATCTCATTTAACTGTTATAAAATATATTTTAGGAAATGATGATTTTGATTGTCACTCTTTTTTTTTTGAATGAAAACAAAATCACTAAATTCTAATAAGGGAGTATTGGAGTGCAACTAGCATTTAGCGTTAGTAAGATTTAGTAAATTTGTAAATTGTGAATACGGTAAATCCATAATGTCCCTGAATTTAGTAAAACCGAATTTAAACCAAATCCAAGGCAAATTTTGGGACCTTAAATCTGAAAATTCATGAATCCATAGAATTCCTGTATTTAGTGTTTAGTTGGATTTAATAAATCCGGTGATAAATCCTATGGAAAGGCACTACCAAACAACCCAAAAGGTCTATGGTTAGATTCAACTAAAAATAAAAAAATCATTATTTTCTAAAACATGTCACTAATCTAACTAAAATGATGACTAACAAAGAGTAAAGGGGGTCAAGCATGTTAGTGCGACAATGAAAAAAAAAATTATCACATTAAAAAAAAAAAAAGAATTATCACTACCCAAATATTTGGAGTTGGAACAATTTCATTACCTGATGCTTGTCTCTGCTGCCTAGTCCGCTTCCTTGAATCAATTTTTTGCTGTAAATAAATGAAAAACAAAAATAATTAGATGATGCCTTGAGACCAAACCATATGAACTAAATCATGCATCGCCTTCGATACCTGAAGATCATAATTCTTATCAGGATTTGTCAAGAGATCTAATGCTTTCTCCGAGTCATTGTTGTTCACGCGAAGAGCTTCAGCAGCCAGATACCTCTCAAACCTGCAAGTGAAAGAAGAATCAACATGGAAAATAACAGAAGATTCCTGCAATGGTAATCTCAAAAGCTCCAGAGTGGATCTATTTGTACTACAAATCAAGCAAGAGAAACAGAGCTCAGTTTTATCTCTCTCTCTCTCTCTCTCTCTCTCTCTCTCTCTCTCTATCTATATATATATATCTATATATATATATATATATCTATATATATATATATATATATCTATATATATATATTTATAAAATGGGTGGGGTTTTCGAATCCCTCTCTGGCTAGTTTGCCGGTAGTGAGGGTGGTCTCGAATAGTTAGGCGCATGAGGGTGGCTGGGGGATCGTATAATAGCCTCCGGCCATTCTTTTATTAGTATGT